GTAACGTGTGACTACGCCTTTCCAAACATGAAAATTGCTATGCAACTACATTAGCAACTTTGTTCAGTTCAGTATTCTGAAAATCTTGTTTTATACTTTTTCAGCGTCGTTTTGTGTCGTAGTTGGGTTTTAGTTTTTTTACTTTTTATTATTTGTACTATTTTGATGTTTAAATGTATTTGTGGCGCATAATATTAACAAAAGTTAAATTGATGAACTAAAAACTAGGTAGTTGACATACGACATCTCTTTTGACTTATGTATCGGCGTATAGTTATATGTAGAGATATCCTATTTTACTATTTCGTAGCGCGTGGATCGTAGCGCTTATATCAACGGTTTCCCCGTATGAAGCTCCCAGTGTTTCGTAGTAGCGACGCACATTTGCGTCGATGGCAGCGAATGGGTCATGAATTAGTGGATGAGGTCGTTAGTATAAATAGATTGGATGTTTCATATATTAAGAGGACCTGGGAAGATTTCTTAATCTAATTCTGCTAACGATCGACTGTCATGTGGATTTTTATGTAACTTATTATGATCCAAGGCACTTATAAACAATCCCTCTATGGTTTTGACTCTACTGAGAGCGACATAGGCCTGTTCATTAGCAAACAATGACTTTCCTAGATCGATAACTGCTTTATCTAGAGTACAACCTTGTAATTTGTGTACAGTACAACCCCAAGAAAGAATCAGCGGGAGCATTTTACGCTGAATTTCCCAGACTCCCTCAAGCCGACAAATTCAGTGAGACATGGCTCGATTCTGATAAATCCGTTAATATCTGCTTTTATGGATGCGTCGTCAAATTGTATGAGAACAGCGCTTGGCTGTTCTCCTTGTTCCAACTGATCGCGCCGAAGAGCAGGCCATTCGAAGGCCTTCACCACTCCCATCGCTCCGTCTACCAAATCCTGGTTTACCTAAACGAAAAATAATCAAATCGGACAGTAAAATTCGATAAGTTCTTGCCTTACATTTCTTTGTTCTTGGTGTTGGAGCTAGGTAAGTTTGAGTTTGTAGATTTCTAAAAAATAAACAAAAAGTTAGATTCAACTGAAATTTAAATAAAACATTGATTCATGATTAATCAAGACAATTATTACTCAAGGAGATCGTGTTTCCTCCATTGGAATTTCATTAATATTTTCTTCCACGATATCTTCAACTTCCAAGTTGGGATCTGGATGATTTTCTACCTGAAAAAGGATAAAATAAATAGGTATCATCAGTATTTAATTAAGTTAATGATTTGTATCATGTAATTTTATTAAAAAGATGGTAATCGAGCTTTATANTATAAAGAACCCAAACCAAAATGCAATCATTTAATTAAGAAGTACTTACTTGAGTTACGGTATCACAATCATACTCATTTGTACCTTCTTCAAACTCCAGCGGCACCATTTCCATAATTTTTATTGTGTCTGGGTGAGGACTTGGAGGTTTACAACCCCCACCAGTTGCCTTCAAAGCTTTCTTGTAAATACTATTCCTTTTTTTACTTCTACTTTCATGGCCCGCCATTGCTGTTTTAGTTCACGAAAATGTTGTACGAAAATGTCACTAAGCTATACGTGAGCTTTCATTTCCGGTTATTAATTTTTGAACGAAACATGTATAGCACATGCGGTCGGAATGGAGGAACAGAATTGACTTATGCCCGTTTTCACTATCAGTCCCTAATTTTTTTAGTAACTGGTCACATGGTGACTCGCTCCGGAGTCAATAATCCAGTCTTCACTTAGTATGGCATGGTTAGCAATAAAAGCTTGACTTTGTTTTGCTTCTTTCAAATTTTTCAATTTAAAACGATTCTTTTTGATGTGCCCACGTTTTTTACAATAATTGCAGATCGGTCCCTTAGACATATTTGGCTTATGATTCTTGACAACTAAAGCCACTTCTGTGTCTTCTTTATTTGTCTCAGTTAATCTTTGTTCATGCAAGCGCAGCCTCTCCATGAGGATACTCACTTTTCTATCACTGAGCGGCACTGATTCCCATGCATTCTTAAATTCTAAGAACTCAGTTGGTAGAGTATTCAAAATCCTGTTTATCAATAAAGACTCTGGCAACTTGCCCTTAGTTTGTAATTCATGATTCAACTGAGTAAATGGCCTCTGCAATTTACTCACGTGCAGTGCTATGTTATCTTCGTTTAATTTCTTGTAAGAGAATAACTCGCAATATAAATGATCAAGACGACGTTCATTCTTCTGCTCATAAACCGCATGTAAGGTGTCCCACATTTCTTTTGCGGTTTTGCATGTCAAAATGTGCTGCTTGGGTTCGTTGCTTACTGACGACCCAATTATGAACTTTGCTATGGCGTCTTTTTCGTCATGTTCTTTTATGCCTTTTTCGGTCAGTGCACTGATATTGATTTTGTGCAAAGTAAACTGCAGTTCAACATCGAATTTCCATGAGATCCAATTCGATTCGCCCTCCAACTTTTCTATGGAAACTTTGTCTAGGCATGCAGCAGCCATTTTTGTCGGCGTCCTGTGCTTGCTATTTTTGCACTTTGTCACTGTACAGACTTTACAATTCGCCTAACTGGGCCCATAACCTGTTAAGGTTTCTTGAATGAAATTCAGTTTGCAGCTTCATAAAGTTTACTTTAAACTTTGTTTAATTAAATTAATGACTTGTGTTTTAATTGTTCTTACCTGTATAAATTCATCCAAGGCATCATAAATAGCATCTAATACCGATGGAAAAAATAGGGATATAGAGCATTTTGGCACCCTGAAGTGACTTTCTAAGCTGCGGAAACAATTACCAGTTGCCAAATATCTCAATGCTAGTTGTAGTTTAATTCTAGCAGGTATTGCTTTTCTCATATGGGTATCTATCTGCTTTTTGTATTTTAGGTGCTATTTTTTCTAGTAAATAATCAAATTGTTCGCTACTTAATATCAAATTATTTTTATATGTTTTTGGATCTTCTTCTTCAGTTTCACGTAAAAAATTATCTGATGCACCAAATTCATTACGTCTTAAAACCCATTTTCGGGTCCAAATTTGTCTCTTTCTTCGTTCTTTTTCAAAATTTCTCTTTCCTTTCGTGATTATGAACTTCTTCTATTAACATATCTGCTTCAACTTCTACACCTCTCAGCAGCAAATCACTCGACGTCATCTCGGATGGAGAGATACGAATGCGTAATGTGCCCATTGTGTCAGTTTTATAGCTCTGTTTTAGTGCTCTCGACAGCAAAGGTGGTAAAAATTTAGTGGTGTAGAAATTATCCATCACCAGAGTGTGCCCACGATTTAGTAATGGCCTGACAAGATCAAAAACAATCTTGCTGGTGGCACCCTCTGGCTCTGGTTTATTGCCCTCACTACCTTCCCTTTGCCGGCATAGAATAGAGACAAGTTCATTTTCTTTTTTTTCGGCTCATGCCATATCTGTTTGTTTTCAGTGGGTATTTTCTTAATACGCCATTCAGAATGCTCTTTAAATCTTAAAATTGCATAACATACACAAGCTATATGCTTACACACTGCTTTTGGTCCCATACCAGCTGCACACTCACACATGGATTGAACAATTTTTCCATCAGATTCAAAAGCAATGCTCATAAAATATGACAATGCTTTCGTGTTTTCAGAGTGGACTTGTCCCCTATAAAAATGCAATTTATTTTGTGTACATGTCACTAGAGCCACCAAATATTCATCATTTATCATCATATTATAGCCTTTTCTATGAACTGTGCAGCACACTCCGTCATACCCACATTGTCTTTGTAAACCTCTAAAAAGTAAGTAGAAATATTCACTATATCTAAGTCAGGTGATACACTTTTCAATGTTACGCTGATGTATGAACTGTCCGAAGGCCACTCAACAGTATACGCCAAATCGACATTTTTTATTCCATCTGTTATGTTTCCAACAAAATTATTATTTCTATCATAGTCTTGAAGCCTGTAAAACGAAAAACACAGCTGTAATCTGGATAAACAAGCCAACTTTAGACAAGATATTGTTTGTAAATATAAAAAAACTAACCTCTGCATTAGCTGTTCTTTCAGACCGTTTAAATTTGCACCTCTTTTTGTTAACTCCACTTTTAAAGCACTGACATTCATAGATCCGTAATCTGTATTTGCCATAATTAATCTAAGTATTGTTAATAGTTGGTGTAGAAATTATCTATCACCAGAGTGTGCCCACGATTCAGTAATGGCCTGACAAGATCAAAAGCAATCTTGCTGGTGGCACCCTCTGGCTCTGGTTTATTGCCCTCACTACCTTCCCTTTGCCGGCATAGAGCTTCATCCTCCACAAATATCCCGACTTGGACTCGCACAGCTCGTAAATTTTTATACCCACCCGAGCAGCTTTGGTGTTAATCAGTTGTGCGAAGGAGAGCCTCCCCTTCCACAACAATTATTATTATTATTATTGGTTTTGGGCCTTCATTTGCGCCATCTCGACCAGGTTTGATCTATTGTGGCAGCCCTTGTCTTTAGAGTTCACTGCTTAGTCCCGTTGAGTCTATAAATTTCCAGATTCTTTGGAGCGTGATATCTGCTATCTCATCCGGGTGCATGATGTGTCGCCCGAGATGGATACTTCTTTTGCTCATAAGCGGGCCGCATGAGCAAAGAACATGCATGGCCGTTTCTTCTTCTGTGTGGCAGAATCTGCACAGAGTTTCCTCGGTCATGTTCATGTTTGATCCACAACAATAAAGACCCGTCAATTGCGATGTTTTGTTCGTGTAGGTATAGCGAGCTAAATTTGTTGTTTAGGACGTTTTTTTGGTAAAATTTTTACCAATTTGTTCGGGATATTTGTTGACGATAAATGTGTCACTGTCAAATTATCTACTAGACAAGAGCTAGTGAACGCCAGACCTACGTCATTTTATAAAAGCTGAAAGTTTTTCAGCGTATGCTCCCAATATAGGATATAATGTTGGTGAATTATGAAGTTTGGGTCATCGTGGCTTTGGGACCTACTCTAAAAAAACTGTCTGGCAAGGAGTTGGAACTGTCAAAACTGTCTGGCTGTTGGGGAAAATACTTCTAATAGGGTACTCTGGGTGGTAAATAAAAGAATATGAAAATCAATACACAACGAACTTTATGTAGAAATAAACATAGTTATACTGATTTTATGTCGTAAATATACATGATTTATTTATTATGTTAAAATTAAAAATTGATATTTTTAATCTGTATATCACGTGACTAAAAACACGAGCCGCCATGCTGTAACGTCATATTGGCAATAAATCATTCGCTGTCATCTGTTAACAACTTTTTATTTTCTATTCGCATTCTATTCGTCAGTAAGTTAAATACAACTAAAAACACGAAATGGAAGCCGGTTTCGTAAAAGCAGGTAGAACGTTTACCAAAAATCGACACGATGATGGTTACAAAGTTCTTTGCATGTAATCCAGATTTCTGTTCTGCCGAATTCCGGAATTTAAAAACATCTTTGTAAATATTACCTTTATTATGTTGTTTTTAATTAAATAACAGCTATACAGTGTGAGTCACGTTAAAGTGTACATATGAAAATAGATGAAACTAGACATATTTTTATCGACAAAAAAGAGGTCAAAAATTTTTTGTTTTTTTTTTTTAATTTTTATAGAATTTTTTTTATTCCAATTACTTATTGTAAAAAAAACGTAATAACTTTTAAACTAAGCGGTATATCCTGATAAAATAAAAACATTAATAATGCTAAATAACAGGCGATACTAAAAAAATACATAAAATACACAAAAAATAATAAAAAATGATACTTTTTGAAAAAAAACTGCTTTAAAATTCGTGTTTCTTTGGTTATTTGATAAATTTTTCCAAAAAATGCCCCTATAACCGGTGGTTTTTATTACTTTGTTTGTATATTTAGCATTATTACTGTTTTTATTTTTTCAGGATATACCGCCTAGTTTAAAAGTTATTACGTTTTCTTTACAATAAGTAATTGGAAGAAAAAAAATTCTATAAAAAATTAAAATAAAATCTCAAAAAATTTTTGACCTCTTTTTTGTCGATAAAAATAGGTCTAGTTTCATCTATTTTCATATGTACACTTTAACGTGACTCACACTGTATAGAGCATATTTTTTATGTTTCTAGCAAAAATTTTGTATCTTGCATCAAAGATAGGAAGTTGATTATTTTTTTCAAAAATCTGCAATTAATAGGGAATCTGTCAAAAAAAAGAAATCTGAGAAAAGTCGACCCAAAAAAAAGATAAAAAAATTTAAAGCCTACTGGGTCATAAAATTTGAAAAAATCACAAAATTAACGATAACTTCTAAACTATGAAAAATCGTAGAACATACATGGGGGTGAAATCGATAGGTCTAGTCCTCACCTATCACCTGCCTTCGGCTTGACACCTTACAAGAAACACCCTGTAGAGCATTTTGGCACCCTGAAGTGACTTTCTAAGCTGCGAAAACAATCACCAGTTGCCAAATATCTCAATGCTAGTTGTATTTTAATTCTAGCAGGTATTGCTTTTCTCATATGGGTATCTGCTTTTTGTATTTTAGGTGCTATTTTTTCTAGTAAATAATCAAATTGTTCGCTACTTAATATCAAATGATTTTTATATGTTTTTGTATCTTCTTCAGTTTCACGTAAAAAATTATCTGATGCACCGAATTCATTACGTCTTAAAACCCATTTTCGGGTCCAAATTTGTCTCTTTCTTCGTTATTTTTCCCTTTCGTGATTATCAACTTCTTCTATTAACATATCTGCTACAACTTCTACACCTCTCAGCAGCAAATCACTCGACGTCATCTCGGATGGAGGGATACGAATGTGTAATGTGCCCATTGTGTCAGTTTTATAGCTCTGTTTTAGTGTTCTCGACAGCAAAGCTATTATACACCACTAAATTTTTATCACCGTAAAAAAAAAATTCTGGGTAATGAGTTATTGATACTGATCCCAATTGTGCAAAAAAAAAGTTAAATAAAGTGACTCAAAATTTCCTCCTAAAATTGGTAATTTATGGAAACACGCGTCGCTAGAACTATTTACGTACGGTACTGTAACACTTATTAGAATTTAAAATGGTCTAAGTTAGCTAAGTATGTAATAATAACACTGGAAGCGTGGTCGAGGCGTGAGCGAGATGGACAGATCGAGGCAACGTGCGAGCGCGTACGACTACTCTAGTGAGCAGCGGAGTTACAAAGCTGTGACGCGTAAAATACGGATTGAAGAAAATTTAATAAAAAATATAACCTTATGAAAAACATTTATTTTTCTATTGCTTTAAATTTTTCACACGTTTCTACATAACCTGTTAAAATTTTTTCGGCGATAAAAATTTAGTGGTGTAGAAATTATCCATCACCAGAGTGTGCCCACGATTTAGTAATGGCCTGACAAGATCAAAAACAATCTTGCTGGTGGCACCCTCTGGCTCTGGTTTATTGCCCTCACTACCTTCCCTTTGCCGGCATAGAGACAAGTTCATTTTCTTTTTTTTCGGCTCATGCCATATCTGTTTGTTTTCAGTGGGTGTTTTCTTAATACGCCATTCAGAATGCTCTTTAAATCGTAAAATTGCATAACATACACAAGCTATATGCTTACACACTACTTTTGGTCCCATACCAGCTGCACACTCACACATGGATTGAACAATTTTTCCATCAGATTCAAAAGCAATGCTCATAAAATATGACAATGCTTTCGTGTTTTCAGAGTGGACTTATCCCCTATAAAAATGCAATTTATTTATCATACGAGTAGTCTTGAAGCCTGTAAAACGAAAAACACAGCTGTAATCTGGATAAACAAGCCAACTTTAGACAAGATATTGTTTGTAAATATAAAAAAACTAACCTCTGAATTAGCTGTTCTTTCAGACCGTTTAATTTTGCACCTCTTTTTCTTAACTCCACTTTTAAAGCACTGACATTCATAGATCCGTAATCTGTATTTGCCATAATTAATCTAAAGTTTTTTTTTTAAAGATTATTAGCAATTTGTATTGCCCAAATTACTAATAGTCCCGTTAGCCCCTCGTGGTAAGCTAAATAAGCTTGTGTTACGAGTGGGCTCACCACAATATTCGAGCGGCGGTGGGATTCGAACCCGCGTTCCTCGGATCTCGAGTCGGCCACTCCGACCCCCTCACCGTTCGGCTATCGTGGCTATTTGTTATTATTGTTAATATTTGGTGTAGAAATGATCTATCACCAGAGTGTGCCCACTATTCATTAATGGCCTGACAAGATCAATACTCAATACTCAATACTTTTATTGCATAACCACATTAGCATTCACAAAAAAAACAATCAAAAACAATCTTGCTGGTGGCACCCTCTGGCTCTGGTTTATTGCCCTCACTACCTTCCCTTTGCCGGCATAGAGCTTCATCCTCCACAAATATCCCGACTTGGACTCGCACAGCTCGTAAATTTTTATACCCACCCGAGCAGCTTTGGTGTTAATCAGTTGTGCGAAGGAGAGCCTCCCCTTCCACAACAATTATTATTATTATTATTGGTTTTGGGCCTTCATTTGCGCCATCTCGACCAGGTTTGATCTATTGTGGCAGCCCTTGTCTTTAGAGTTCACTGCTTAGTCCCGTTGAGTCTATAAATTTCCAGATTCTTTGGAGCGTGATATCTGCTATCTCATCCGGGTGCATGATGTGTCGCCCGAGATGGANAATATGAAAATCAATACACAATGAACTTTATGTAGAAATAAACATAGTTATACTGATTTTATGTCGTAAATATACATGATTTATTTATTATGTTAAAATTAAAAATTGATATTTTTAATCTGTATATCACGTGACTAAAAACACGAGCCGCCATGCTGTAACGTCATATTGGCAATAAATCATTCGCTGTCATCTGTTAACAACTTTTTATTTTCTATTCGCATTCTATTCGTCAGTAAGTTAAATACAACTAAAAACACGAAATGGAAGCCGGTTTCGTAAAAGCAGGTAGAACGTTTACCAAAAATCGACACGATGATGGTTACAAAGTTCTTTGCATGTAATCCAGATTTCTGTTCTGCCGAATTCCGGAATTTAAAAACATCTTTGTAAATATTACCTTTATTATGTTGTTTTTAATTAAATAACAGCTATACAGTGTGAGTCACGTTAAAGTGTACATATGAAAATAGATGAAACTAGACATATTTTTATCGACAAAAAAGAGGTCAAAAATTTTTTGTTTTTTTTTTTTAATTTTTATAGAATTTTTTTTATTCCAATTACTTATTGTAAAAAAAACGTAATAACTTTTAAACTAAGCGGTATATCCTGATAAAATAAAAACATTAATAATGCTAAATAACAGGCGATACTAAAAAAATACATAAAATACACAAAAAATAATAAAAAATGATACTTTTTGAAAAAAATCTGCTTTAAAATTCGTGTTTCTTTGGTTATTTGATAAATTTCTCCAAAAAATGCCCCTATAACCGGTGGTTTTTATTACTTTGTTTGTATATTTAGCATTATTACTGTTTTTATTTTTTCAGGATATACCGCCTAGTTTAAAAGTTATTACGTTTTCTTTACAATAAGTAATTGGAAGAAAAAAAATTCTATAAAAAATAAAAATAAAATCTCAAAAAATTTTTGACCTCTTTTTTGTCGATAAAAATAGGTCTAGTTTCATCTATTTTCATATGTACACTTTAACGTGACTCACACTGTATAGGTATACCTTATTTGTTGAAAAATATCGGAAAGTTTTTTGTTTTCCAATGTTAATTAAGACTTGGTTATCCACAGATCTGCAAGAGAATCGTATGGCGACGATGCTATCGGATACGTGCAACTACAAAGGACCCAAGCTTTATGTACTATAAAGTGTACAATATGTCCGGAACATAAAGTTCGTTCCAAACCATACTCTGCAACTCTCATTGTAGATGAGCAAGAAGATGATGTGCTACAGGTGACATGCCATGATTGTCCTGCGTCTGCCGGTGGATGTAAACATGCTGTAGCATTTTTAATGTGGTGTCATCGTAGAAGTGAAGAGCCATCATGCACTTCAGTCCAATGTTATTGGAAAAAATCAACAGTATCAAAGGTCGGATCTTCAATAAAAAATATGACAACGAAAGAAATGACAAACAAGAAGCTAAAAAGTGCTGAAACTAGTATAGGTGACAGTGTAGTTGAACATTTTTTAATTGAATCTAAAAAAAGAAAAATTACTTCTTGTCAATATTTAAAGCATGAAAATGATTTTGTTTGCAAAAAAAGTAATACACTGTCACTACATTACCTGATGTGTAGTAACAAAACTAATAAATGTGATGATTTCCTAAACCTAATAGGTAAAGTTTTAAATGATATAAATATCAGAAATGTTGAGAAACAAACTAGAAACCAACATAAGAGTGGATTATGGTATGAGTTACGTTATGGGAGAATCACGGCTTCAAAATGCTTTGAAGTCAGTAGGTGTAAAACCACTGATGGTTCTTTGGTTGCCACCATTCTTGGAGGAAGAACCATCGAAACTACTGCAATAAAGCGAGGCAGAAATTTGGAAGACAGTGTGCGAAAAAGTGTGGAGAAAAAATTGGGGAAAAAAATAGAAAAATGTGGAATATTTATTTCCGAAGAGAATCCTATGATTGCAGGTTCGCCAGATGGCATTTGTGAAAAAAATACTACAATTGAAATTAAGTGCCCAAGTACCAAAAAAACTGAAAATAAATATATTAAAGACGGTGCTATCACTAAACAATACTATGCTCAAGTACAAGTACAAATGTATTGTGCAAAAGTGAATAAAAGTTATTTCTGTGTCGCAAGTAGTGGTTTCGAAAAGGACAATAAAGTGTATATTATAGAGATTGCATAGAACTGCTCCACAGTGTTATTTCATTTTGGAAAAGAAATATTTTTCCCATTTTATATGAAACTTTACAAATAAAATAAAAAAAAGTACTTTAGCAAGTAATAATTAGCAAGTCTTTTATTTTACTCTTAAAATACCTAAATGTTAGTTAAAATTACGACAAGTACTCATTAATTTACAAAGTATCAGTTGCTATCAGTGGTGTTCATTAACAGATAAAATAATAGTTTACAATATACATATAAAAAAAATACTAACATTAGCAAACATTGTCTTAACCAATACTAAAGGAAAATATTTGTAGATGAAAACTATAAACTAAACATAATTACAATTATTTAATTAGGGAATCTTGTATATTTATCAGAGCACAAGCTGTTACAATACACTCATCAAGAATAGGAATTAAATTAGAGTTAACAACTGAATGGGGTTTTAATATGGCAAACTCTCGAATTCTGCGTATCACTCTCTCTATGTGAATTCTAAGGCTAGCTATTTGTTTAGTTAGCCTCACTTCAGATTTTGTTAGTTTGGAACCACTACTGACACTTGGAGGCCACACCAAAGAAAAGTTTCTTTGTTTTAAATAGAATTCAATGTGTTTGAACCCTCTATCTGCTAGAATACAAGTGCCAGGTTCCAAACTATCTAAAAATTTACAGTTCTCTACTAGCTGAACATCCGTTATCCTACCCCCATATCCAGAAGAAACAAATCTAACCAGTCCATCAGGTGTACATGCAATTAAATATTTAATTGTATCAGCTTTTTTATATTCTGACCATGTCAGTGCTTGACGTACTGCCATTGTTGGTTTCTGTATTTGAATTTCTAAACAATCAATGATACAGGTAACTTTGTGAAATCGATGTCGGAAAGCTATAGGTAAGTTCCATTTTATTGAGACAGGACTAAAAGGTTTTATAAAAGGAGACAATGCTTTGCTTATTAATGGTAACTTAGTCAGAAAGATTTGACTTGTTTGTGACAATGACAACCCAAAATCATCGGCCAGTTGTGAAAATGTTCTGTTGAGTCTAATTTTCATGAGGCACAACTACAACAAAATGTGTTGTTCTGTTATATGTGTATGTTTCTTTATTATATGTACCAAAAAATAAAGCCCATTAGGAATACCCAGATACAGCCTGCTGTTTTTCTTAATTTTAGATAAAGTGTTGTAGTAATATAGCTTTTGGTCTTCTAACTTTAATTCTTCTAGTAAGCTACTGTCAGACGTTGTCTTACATTTAGTTGGTGTAGGCCATTCACTTGAAAGTGATGGAGCAAGTGATATTTCACTGTCCGACTTTTCTTCAAATATAACTGATAGTTTGCGTTTAGCAGATGTTGTGACTCCTGATGTACTTGGTATATTTATTTGGCTTCCTTTGATATGAGGTGACGTTGCAATAGACACACTAGTCTTTATGGGTGACAAACATTGGTCTCTTATTTTGAATGTGCACTGGGTAGCTTTACTTTTGTAATGAGGCACTATATTTGCTTGTATCGATTTGCTTTCCTGTGATAATACTTGCACCTGGATTGACTTGTCAGTGGTCAGTGTTTGCACTTGGGTTTCTTTGTCCTCATTATTTTTTTCAGTAAGAAGTATTGGTACATCTGGAAGCATAAAAAAATCATATAATACTCATTAATGATACTTACTTTTTGGATTACAATGCTTTTAATATACAGTGTGAGTCACGTTAAAGTGTACATATGAAAATAGATGAAACTAGACCTATTTTTATCGACAAAAACTAGGTCAAAAAATTTTTGAGATTTTTTTTAAATTTTTTATAGAATTTTTTTTCTTCCGATTACTTATTGTAAAGAAAACGTAATAACTTTTAAACTAAGCGGTATATCCTGATAAAATAAAAACAGTAATAATGCTAAATAACAGGCAATACTAAAACAATACATAAAATACACAAAAACTGCCAACAAATAATAAAAAATGATACTTTTTGAAAAAAATCTGCTTAAAAATTCGTATTTTTTTGGTTATTTGATAAATTTCTCCAAAAAATGCCCCTATAACAGATGGTTTTTATTACTTTTTGTTATTCTCTATTGTATTACTTTTGTAAAACTAAAAATCTCATGTCTCTATCCCTATCACAACATTTGCTATGATCGTTTGAACAAAGGCCTGCCACCACATTATTCTCCGCTACAGGTAGAGACAATTTTTATTTTAACTAAAATGCTTATTTTACTTCGAAATCTTTTGTTTTTATTTGAAATCTAACTTGTCTTTATCAAAATTACAAATCTAGAGTCACTTTCAGTTTCGTTGTTAACGAAGCGTTGAATGGCGCGCCCGGAGAGGCTTAGTTCAAACGATCATTGCAAACGTTGTGATAGGGATAGAGACATGCGATTTTTCGTTTTACAAAAGTAATGTGATAGAGAATAATAAAAAGTAATAAAAACCACCTGTTATAGGGGCATTTTTTTGAGAAATTTATCAAATAACCAAAAAAATACGAATTTTTAAGCAGATTTTTTTCAAAAAGTATCATTTTTTATTATTTGTTGGCATTTTCTGGGTATTTCATGTATTTTTTTAGTATCGCCTGTTATTTAGCATTATTACTGTTTTTCTTTTATCAGGATATACCGCTTAGTTTAAAAGTTATTACGTTTTCTTTACAATAAGTAATAGGAAGAAAAAAAATTCTATAAAAATTAAAAAAAAAATCTAAAAAATTTTTTGACCTCTTTTTTGTCGATAAAAATAGGTCTAGTTTCATATATTTTCATATGTACACTTTAACGTGACTCACACTGTATATACTAACATATCGATGGAATACATATGTAGGGACGGGGCTTCGCAAGGAAAATCAGTTTCTTCCAATAATATGTTTAATCTTCTTTAAATATTACAGAGCTACACTTACTCTTAACCGTCTTGCCGCCATCACCCCTTTCCTTCCTTCTCACTCACTCTCCATACGTTCGTCTCGCTCACACTCGTTCGTTCATCCAAAGAGTTTAAAACAATAGAGTATTTACTCCATAGATGTTACAATCCTACACTCTCGGCAATCCTGTCTTTGTCTGTCCTCAGACAATCTTAGGCTACAAACACTAACTTTCATTAAACATCGTTAAACTTTGTAAATACTCAACTCATTTGTTCGTGTATGGCTTTGATGTCCACGGTGTCTGGGAATTATTTGGATATCGCGGCCTTCAAGTCGTCCCAACTCTTAAACGGACGTTCGGATCTGAGCCACAGCTGCGCAGTGTCCGTCAGTGACCTTCGTGCCACCAGCAGCTGCTGCAACGGAGACCAACCGAATATTTCCGCGTTGCTCTCGACGTCTTCAATCCAGCGTGACACGGGATAGGTATTATCTCTCCCGCTGTATCTAGGCACCAACTCCGCCGTCATTTGCAACATGTGCGTCGGGTTATGCGTGATATTGTCGTCATCACAATCTTCATAGTCGTCTTGTCGGCTTTTACGTCTTTCTTTGCCGTAGTTCGGCATGTTTCCGTCGTATGATTCCGTCTGAATCTTGAAACACGCCGGCCGGTACAATGGCGTCGTCGTACGCGTGTGCTCGTACGTCTTAATGAGATTTTCGCACGAAGTACACCGTCCACCGCGAAGATAATTATCCCGGACGAGCCCCCAAAATTTGTAGGGACGGGGCTTCGCAACATATTATTGGAAGAAAATCAGTTTCTTCCAATAATATGTTTAATCTTCTTTAAATATTACAGAGCCACACTTACTCTTAACCGTCTTGCCGCCATCACCCCTTTCCTTCCTTCTCACTCACTCTCCATACGTTCGTCTCGCTCACACTCGTTCGTTCATCCAAAGAGTTTAAAACAATTGAGTATTTACTCCATAGATGTTACAATCCTACACATATTACCGATGAGAATAAGATTACACTCTTTATTATACTCAGACTATAATAGGTACCTGACTTAGACGATGATGCTGTTGGTTCCATGTAGTCTTCAACCAACATGCTTTTTTCATTTTGACATGTTTCACGGATCCCATAATCTTGTACTCCATAAAATTTTCCATGTCTTGTTCCAACTGCAATGATATCATTATATGAATTTCTTGGTAGCTTGGTAGCGGTAGTAATTTTAGGTTAATCTTACGTACAGAAAACAATAATTGAAATCTAGAAACGTATTAGATGTTAGAGTTTTACTTACATTGAAATGATCTTCGCACATATAGGGTCA